AGAAGGGGAAGATATGGAGGTAGTGACAGTTTTTACTTTCTTGGGCTCCATGATCACTGCAGATGGTAACAGCAGCCCCGAAATTAAAAGACGCCTTCTTCTTGGGAGGAAAGCGATGACAAACCTTGACAGCATCTTAAAAAGCAGAGACATCACCTTGCCAACAAAAGTCCAAATAGTCAAAGCTATGGTTTTTCTGTAGTGATGTATGGAAGTGAGAGCTGGACCATAAAAAAAGCTGACCGACGAAGAATTGATGCTTTTGAATTGTGGTGCTGGAGGAGACTCTTGAGAGTCCCCTGGACTGCAAGGGGAACAAACCGATCCATTCTAAATTAAATCAAGCCTGAGTGCTCCCTGGAAGGGCAGATCCTGAAACTGAGGCTCCAATACTTTGGCCATCTCATGAGAAGAGAGCACTCCCTGGAAAAGACCCTGATGTTAGGAAACTGTGAGGGCAAGAGGAGAAGGGGACGACATGGTTGGACAGTGTCATCGATGAGATGGTTGGACAGTGTCATCGAAGCGACCAACATGAATTTGGCCCAGCTCCGGGAGGCAGTGGAAGACAGGAGGGCCTGGCATGCTCTGGTCCATGGGGTCACGAAGAGTCGGACACGACTAAACGACTAAACAACAACATAAAATATAATGCAATCTAAATTTTACCCAAGCTATATAATGAAGGGCGGGCTGGCTGGCTCAGTGGTTTAGGTATCTGACTGCAGACCCAGAGGTTGGGAGTTTACTTTCCCACTGTGCCTCATGTGAGTAGAGCCAGCCTCTGTGGCCTTGGGCAATCTGCACAGTCCTAGGCTTCCCCAGAAGAAAGGAAAGGAAAACCACTGAGTGTTCCCTGCCTGGAAAACCCTGAAAAGGGCTTCCAAAAATCAGAACTGAACTGATGGAACATCATGATGATGATGATGATGATGATGATGATGATATAATGGAACCCAAGCAAAGAATTATTCATACTACAACAAGTTTTAAAGTTACTTCAGTACATCAATAGCAAAAGAGAGATGATGTCTTACATTTTCAAATAATTTTCAAGAATATAAGAATGGCAAAGTTCTGGAGCAATTCTCCACACTTAAAACCATTTGAGATGATTTACTGCAAACTTTGTATTCAGTAATTTAGTTTCCATAGTATCCATGAAATAATATTAGCTCCCTCTGGTGGTCAATAAAGTCAAAGGCTGTAGAAATTGCAAGTTGTGTGTAAATTTGAAAAGTCTAAACATTTTACTTGTAATCATTTCAAATGGACCCTGTCAAAATGAAAGGTATGTTTACTAGTACTGAAATAGAATTACACTGTAAGCTACACAAAACTGGTGGGACTTTAAATTAATGCTACAACCTTACCCCACCAGGAACAGGCTGCTTCGTACCCTCCAAATATTTTTAACTGCAGTTCCAATAAACTCCAGCTTGCCCAGCTAATGGGCTGAGATTATGGAAGCTGTGATCCAAAATATCTGGAGAATACCAGGTTTCTCCCTCCGCTATACACACTGGCATGGGGCTAAGTGCCACTAAGTACAATGGGACTTCTGAAAAGCCTATATAGGATTGTACTGTGCATCTTCTGAAACGCCTTTCAGCAGGGGCTGGGGCCAACCTTTGATCAATTTTGCTCTTTATCAGTTATTACTGATCAAGAGCAGACAAAGCTCCTAGACGTTAATAAAAGGCTTTGAACCTCCAAAGTAAGTGGCAAGGGGCATCTTTTTTAAAAGGTTACCAAAATCAAAGCCAAAATTAAAAATGGCCAGTTACTTCGCAGACAAAGCAATATTTACACAGTATTATGATGCAATTTTCTCTGCAATACACTTTGGTTTTTTATATACATTTATTATATTTAGGCAACAAAAACGAGTCATGGCACAACCCTTTTAGATCAAGATATCAAGAACATTGTCCAAAGGAGCTTTAAGCTTGTGCTTCTCAAATCGCAACCTGGATTCCATAAAGCAAATGCTTCTGAAACTGAGGAGACTTGCAAAGGCAGGTCATCATATTACATATGGGCTTGCTGCTCAAAGACAAATAGTAAAATCCCAGTGGACATGCCCAGGCCTTTGAGTTGCCCTTAAACAGCAGCTCTCTGGATCCTGGTCATGGATAGCACTTTATATACTGAACCAATTACCACAGTGGATTGCCATAGCAATGACTGCATTTCCTATGGTTCAAAGCTGCCTGATACAGACTGCCACTAGAGCCACAGGCTTCCATGGAGTTTTATTCCTCAATTACCAGCTCAATCCTATCTGTATACCAACATACTTCTCCTCACATGAAGTATTCATGTGCTTTGGTGGAGGGGAAAACTTATATCTCCCTTGATCCAAACTTCCCACTGTGGTTCCCTTAAGCATAGAAAGTCCTGATGACAGATCTCCCTATTTATTGTTCAGTCTGGCCATGATGAGAATAGGAACTGAAGCACAAAGGGATGCAGGAACATTTCAAAATTGTCCTTGGGAGCAAAGGCAATCAAGAAGAGGTACAAGAACAAAGAACACAATTTTTTCCGCAGTATCTTTCCCCCTCCATCTTTCTCCCCCTCTCGTTTTATCACATAAACCAGTAGACTAGATGTGGAAAGGATCCATAAGAAAGACAGCTTACAACAAGAAACTGTTCCCTCTGGTACAAGAATTAAGCTGTTTCAATCTCTCAGTGTTAGCATAAATCAGTATAGGCAAATATATTTTAAATAAGCAAATAATAAATAAATACCAGTATATTATAATCACACCCTGGAATGTCTTCACAGGTATAATTTTGTCCTGGTGGGGCTCTAATGTCTTCATAATCAGGGACCAGACTAGAATTTCAGTTTTAAAAGTAAGAATTATGACCAGGTCAAGCCTATGTCATCTGCACAAGCACTTATGTGTTGACAGGGTCTGTTGTCTCAATGTAGCAAGTGTCAATTCTCTTGTGAGGAATCTCAATAGACTTTTTACTAGAATTGTACATGTCAGGGCAAGATGGGCACAAGATTGTAAACTGAAACTCTGAGAACCAAATCACAGATTCAAAAATTCGATAACCTTGCCAGACATTTAAATAGGCAAAGAAGAATGTTAGGTTAATGTCTCCACCAATCTACTCTGTTTTCAAGAAAATAAATCTAGACTTTAAATATAAGGATAGCTATCAATGTATTTGCTGGTTAGAAAAAGTAGCGGCCTATAGTTATTTCTTTTTAAACAAAAGCAACTCCATATCTAATATTTAAAATTATTAAATGTAATTTAAATATCAAAAGAGGATAGCATATTTTCCTCTCTTCAAGATTTAAGAAACATCTTACATTTAAAGTCGACTTCTGTTAGGAAAACTCCAACACACAATCTTTTGTCTGCTACAGTTCCAGGGGATGTTTTCATAAGAAAATAGTATATGAATCAATGAGTAAAGGGAATTTAGTTTCTGCACGAAGTAAAGGTACCCATATGGAAACATTTGACCCCAACATTTAAAAATGTCCCTGCTCATGTGATGTGCCATTATCTCCAATATAAGCAGCCAGATTCCATGTTTCTTCAGATATTATGAACAATATTTATAGAAAGAAACAATTGAACATTTGTAGACTTGTTCATACTGAAGCCATTTGACATTTATCTATTAATTTGACCTCACAAAGCAGAGCATAACAACAAAAACAAAAACAAAAAACAGCAACACCCAAAGTTTCCAATGATTTACTGGAGTTATTTGCTCTGATGAACAGGACTTTGTGGGTTGAGGTAATTCCATACAAACTCATTGAGGATACTTACAGATCCAATAAAGGGTGCTTTTGAGAAAAAAGAGGATAAAACACATTTAAGCACATAGTGGATATATAAGATATAGAGAGTAATGAAAGCATTCAGAGAGAACAGCAATAGTAGAAATCCTACAGAACGATTTATTCAGTATATCAACGACATGCTGGTTACTTATCTATAGCAGAAAAATTCACTAATACTGATAGTATCCTTTTCATACCCCGAAGCTCTTTCCAAAAGGACACAGAAAAATAAAGACTAACACAGAAGTAAATTAAAATGATATGTATTTTCCCATTAATGTAACTTGTGTGTGTGTGTGTGTGTGTGTGTGTGTGTGTGTATGTGTGTGTGTGTGTGCGTGTGCGCGCGCGCTACCCCAGGGAGAGCCATGGTTTCTTTCCTAGCCCTCTACAGCAGCCATTCTTAATGGAGTGGTGGTGATCATATGAAATCCCGGGGGGGGGGGGCAGGGCTGGCATGTTTGAAGAGGGCCACAGACTGGACACAATTCTTCTCATAGCACCTTATAAGGTTTGTTATACAACTTATACAATCTTGATTCATCCTATATTTATTTCATATTTTGTTTATGGCCGTGGCCAAAAAAGGGTTGAGAATGGCTGCTCTAAAGCAAAGCCCTGGAAGAGCTGCTCTGGAAAGAGGAGATTGCCCTTCTTCTAATTTCCACTGCCTTGTGCTGCACTGCCAAGAAAAATCAAGAACTGGATCCTGTCCTCAAGGGACCAAAAAGATATACCTACCTGGTGGGCATCTGCATTCAGATGGAACCTCTCTTGCTGTGCGTAGTTTGGCTAATCCTTCACTCAATTTCTGTTAAAAGAAGGACAAAAATAACATTACTTGGGAAGCAATGCATGTGTATGAAGTATTCTTGAAGGCTTTCACAGCCAGGATCCAATGGTTGTTTTAGGTTTTTCGGGTTAATTGGCCGTGTTCTGGAGGTTTTTCTTCCTAATGTTTCATTCTAGCTCCTGCCCTCTGAAGATACCAGCCACAGAGGCTGGCAAAACGTTGGGAAGAAAAACCTTCAGAACATGGCCAAACAGCCCGAAAAACCTACAACGACCATGTGTATGACCTCTGTAAGTGTGTTTCTATTTGTAAACATATACACTAGCTGGACAGTGCCCATTAAGTGCATTTATAGAATACTATAATCATTATATTTTATACACCAGTAGTGAGTGTGTGTGAGAGAAATGCTGAATGCACCGAACAGAACAGCTGAAAAATATTTTGTCACCATCATGAATCCATTGGAGAGGCTAACCCATAGTAAAGATTTCCTGGAGACACTTGCTCTGAAACTGAATACATCTGCCGTTTTCATTCTTCTTTCAGTTGTTCACACAGTGTTAGCACAGTGATACAAACAGTCACCATAACTCATAGTAGTAGTACCTTGGACGGATATACTGAAATTCATCACAAGGACGCAGAGAATTCGCAAGAGAAAACACGTAAGACATTTCTTAAATGTAATCAAAGTACACTTCCTTCTGTTGTTTTCTTTCCCTTTATTTATGTTTTAAAAATGGAGAAGGGAATATAATGGTGTGTCTACACTACACTAGTACAAATTTATAAGGGTGCTTAGTGTACAGGATAGTGTGTTGGACTGGGTCTCAGGAAATCTGAGTTTGAATCACTGCTTGGCCATGGAAGGTCAATGGTAGCGCTGGGGACATTGATCAAACTACTCTTTATATACCAAAGCAAAGTGTGCTGATTATAATCCACCCCATAGATCCTAAAACACTAAGTGTAATTTAAATTATGCATGTTACACATTGCACTCCCCGTGAGCTGGGTATTCAATTTACCAAAGTTGGAAGGATGGATGGCTGAGTTAATCTTGAGCTGGCTACCTGAACCTGAGATAAAACCTGGGTCGTGGGCAAAGTCTTCACTGCAGTACTGCAGTTTAACCACTGTGCCACAAGACACACATACCTTGAAACTCCCATTTGGTGCATGATCAGTTGAACGTGACTTCTCAGCACACAACATGTAATATGAAACAAAATAGTTATACGGAAAAGTCTTGCTCAGTCCTCTAGCATCCAGAAGCAGTTTCTTTTTTCTTTTCTTTTTTTGGTGAATCTCTTTGTCTAATATTTGAGTATCAAAGTATTTCAGAACCAGCCAATCTGATGACTATTGGCTTGTAGGATACTGCTGATGAATCTTCTTTTCCTAGTGTTTCCTCAAATACAGTTCCAGAAATTTTAGCTACAAATGGCTGATTTATTTATTTTATTTTATTTTATTTTATTTATACCCCACCCATCTGCCCTAAAAGACCACTCTAGGCGGCTTCCAATATAATATGAACAATAAAATAATATAAAAATTACAAAAACCATACTATAACATACACAATACAAAAATAAAGTAGAAAATAGATGGAGATGTATTTGAAATGCTTAAGAGACATTATTTACACAAAAAGCTAAGTTCTATCACTGGTGAAAAGGCAGTGGAAGACAGGAGGGCCTGGCATGCTCTGGTCTATGGGGTCATGAAGAGTCGGACACGATTTAACAACTAAACAACAATATCGCCTGATGAAAAATAAAACAAGTGCCTTCAACTTTCCTGGCTAAGTTACACTGGACTACTAAAATTTAAAGAGAAACATAATGCCTATGTCTATCCTGACCACAAAATACAGCTGGGGACCCAGCAGACCATGAGACATTTCCATCTGGTCCCCAGCCTCCTTCAGAGACTTGCCTCATCTTCCTCCTCAAGCTTCCAGTAGAGGAACAATCATTCTGCTCCAACATGCCTGTTTTGTGGTGTTGACAAAGTGAGCACAGAATGGAAGAAAAAGAGAGCTGTCTCTTGCAAGAAGAGGCCATTCACTCCTCCCATGAGCAAAAGATAACACTCAATAGAGGACAAACAAAATGATATCCCAGTAGTTCTGTGTGTGTGTGTGTGTGTGTGTGTGTGTGTGTGTGTGTGTGTGTGTGTGTGTGTGTGTGTGTGTGTGTGTGTGTGTGTGTGTGTGTGCGTGCGCGCGTGCGTGTGCGTAAGGGAGAGAGGGAAAGAAAGTAGAAGAAGCAGGGATGTCCCACATGAAGAGAACCAAGATGTAGGGGGGCAAGGCTAGCACGTTCCTTCCCTCATGTTTGATTTAACCCCTTTGTAGAACACTTATACTGTTAGAACACTGTGAAATGCAGGCTGTGAATCCAATAAATAAACAAACAGAAATAATGGATTTTTCTGAGTTACAATCCTTTTTTTAAGAAAAAGGTTTAGTAACAGAACAAACTGGTCTTCTAACCCTGAACTACTTGTGCAACAGATCTTCCTGAAATGTCAGCATCATCATTTTATCAGGGCTTGTTCCATTATAGTGGCAATGCTGTTGCTGCATATGTATTATAGACATACCATTTGGGTCTTTTGGATGGCGAATCACAGAATTCTCCAAGAATTCCTCAGGCAAAATTCTGAGAGTTTCAGCCCACAGACCCACACCTATTTTTAACTCACTTGGAGAAGGGTCTAGCTCTGGCATAGCTTCTTATTAAAAAGGAAGCTGATCTCATGCTACTTGGGAGGGCCAGGACTTCTTGGGGAACATAGTTCTTTAGAAGGTGCCCTCTATCTAGCATAATGGGCAGCAATACTACATCTCCCAAGGAAGTTTCTTTTGTAATGGGAAGCTAGGCTGGAGTTACTCCATGATCTTTTGTTTGATTACGAGCTATCTCTAGATGGTGGTAACAGATCTTTTGTTCTGCTTTGCTATTAAACACCAGAAGGAAGAGAGGGAAAGCTAGGCCATGGAATCCATAAAGGGTTCAGACTGTCCAGCTGGATGTCTATAATGACACTGAAATGGATGGATATTGTCTCAGCACTTGAACAGGTCAGAGATATGTGTCCTCTTATCTTGTCAGACTCCCTTCTAGGTCTTTTAGCTATGTGAGTTGTAAGGATGGCTTGTACTAGTGGAGCAATCAACGAAATTTGGATGTTGAACACAGAACTCCATTTAATGGTAATATAGGTTTGTTCCTGTTAGATCCCACCTCATATTATGAATAAAAGGAAGTGAACTGGCTGATTTAAGTGCAAAAAACACCTGGCAACTCTCTACATCGATATTTCCCCATCCTTGTCTCAAAGTGGAATCAAATGCTATTTTTGGAAGAAAGGAAAATGTGAGTGGCAAAAGCAGTGAGAGGTGGACAATGCTGGCTGCAGAGGTGTGTGGGTCTTTTCAGTAATATGCTGCAGGATTCCCAAATCTTTGATCAAGAATGCTGTGCACATCAGTTCTGCTTTTTCACAATTTGTTGTAATCTTCTTAGCATTGGGCAAATTGATTCTGGTTTATGGGATACATATGGAGTGCAGGAGACAAAAGATAATATTTTACGAGATTGTCAAAAAGTATAAGCACTTCTATTCATTTTTCTTGCAGCTGATAACCTGAGTATACTATGGACTTGTAATGTGTAGAATTCAGTTTTAAATGGCTTATGATTTTTTGTAGTTCTGCAATTTAGTAGATCATTTAAAATTAGCACACACACCCCTCTTTTTCCTTTTTCTCTCTTTCCTCTACCTTTCTTTTCTTTCTGTTTCTCTCCAGAACTCTGGGCTCATTAGAGGTCAACTGAAGATGGCCATAATACAGCTTTCAGCCCTGCTTCACCATTGCAGCAGGTGGAAAAGCAGGAGAGCTATGCCATTGGGACTTCAAGCTAGGCCCTTCTCCAGATGAGTGAAATATGTTTTGTTGGTGTCCACAGGTGTGGATATGGGGATGAAATGCCTAGAATTCTGTTGAGGAATTCCGCGAGAATTCTGGGAGTTGATGTTCAAATAATCCAAATGGACACACTGGTAGTGCTATGATACACTTCCCAAATACGAGTAGGGAAGGATTGGTGGATGGAAGGAGGAGACAGTCATTTATTCCTACACTAACCAAGTCTTTAGCTCCCAAATACCCACCCACTCAGGCTACCTGAGCAATTTCTACTGATTTGAGAGAGGGGAAAAATTGTATCCATCACAAATGGCCAGAGAGAAATCAGTTGGATTTCATTCCCTCTTCCCATTCACTGATTTTTATTTTTTTTAATCTCTTTTATTTCCTCTACAACCTTTGGCTTTTTATTTATAACTACATAACATCCAACTAGCAACAGCCCCATGGTCGTTTTGAAATACAAAACAAGGGCAATCAATAAAACCACAAATATTAGAGTAAAGACAAGTAAAGCAGGCAAAACAGAACCAAGACATTACAATGCCAGAATGTTAACCATCTTAAATGTCTGGATAGCTAAATTATTTAGGTATCTGGCTGTGAGCCAGAGTATGGGAGTTCAATTCCTTACTATGCCTCCTGAGAGAAGAATGAGCCTATGTAGTGTTGAGCAAACTCATAATCCAAAATGCTTGTATAAAAAGAAATGGAAAACCACTTTGACGATTGTATACCTAAGAAACCCTAGGAATAGTCACTAGATGTTGGAATTGATTGGATAGCACATCATCATCATCAAGATGTTAAATATTACAATATTAAGCTATTAAACTGTAAAGAACTAGCTATAAAATCAAAACCGCAAAACGAACAACAAAAAAGCAATAATAATGCCTGCCAGAACAGAAAGCCCTCACTTGGTTGGTTTCTGAATGCTGTCAACAAAGATGCTGGGTAGAACTCTCTTGGGAGGGCATTTCACAGGTGGGGGGGCACTAATGAGGCAGCTGTTTCTCTATTAGCCACCTATCACACCATTATATGCACTCAAAGACAAACTTCTGAAGATAAC